TGTTTTCGTGGTGTGTATCTAAAACAATTTGACATAACATTACACATTAAGACAAATATTAAGACTAGCATTACAGTTGACACTAACAGCTCTCTGCCTGCAACCTTGACCTGCTTGCAGTCTGCACTGCAAGCACATTACTGAACAGTTAACAACCTGAGCTAGTCAATCTGTCTCCACTAACATTTCTAGACAACAAATCTCTGAATATCTATCTAACTAGGAAATAACCTAACAGTCCCATTGAGCAATTTTCATAGGAATGAAAAGGCGCCATCTAGCAACGCTGTATCCAGTTCTCCATTAATACTTCCATGGGTTAAAAAAAAAAAAAAGTTGTCTTCCCATGGGCCACGTTCCATGTTCTGACTGCCCCCATTATATAATTGGTCAGTGCAGCTTCTTGCTGGATTATGTCACCATATGTTGCAGAAATTGTCATGTTAAAGAGAACCTGCGAAGCTAGAAACAATCAGCCCTTTCTTCATTTTCTTTAAATAAAAAAAAACACTAGAAATTCCACCATGAGACATAGTTCAATTATTGCAATTATTATCTCTGCCCAAACATGCCCACCGGGACAATAGGCGTCGATTGACAGGGGAGGATCCAAAGACAGGTAACGACCCTCACTGATACTGGGCTGTAACGACTCAGTCGTTAATGGGCAGTGTTGGCCTTCTAAGGACTGAAACACCACCGAGGGGGATAAATATCTCCGACTTAACACCAGTCAGTCAGAACTGATGAAGCCTCTTGGATGAGAGGTGAAACGTCTTCGATCTAGATATCCAAGTCCAGTTGATTTCCAAGGTTATTTTGGTTGCGGTTTACTATGACCTGGATGACTGAGAATCTGCACAGATAAGTGCACAGAAAAGCACTATACAAGTATAAGACCATTTACTAAGCACAATCTGCACTCTCCCAACACTCAGTTATTTTCAGTGTTGCTTCACCATCAAATGACTTTACACAAATGGGTATCATTGTTTTATCATTGTTGTTTGGTGG